TGAGTACCCACATATATATATATATATATATATATATATATATATATATGAAAAATTGATGTGGGTACTCAAATGAAAGGTCTCGATGAGTGTAATGTCGGGATGAGCTTATATCGTTAAAAACTTCAATAGTTGACAAGATAGCAATGTCAGTTGTTAATTATTGACATTTTTAAAGATATAAGCTCATCCCGATGTTACTCTCATCGAGACCGTTCATTTAAGTACCCACATCAATTTTTCATATATTTTATATATTTATATATATTATATATATTGAAACACTGTTTCAATAAACTTTTTGTTTACTAAAATAAATCCAATTACTTAAGTCATCAAGTCCTTGCGGATAGGTAAATGATCACTTAAGCTTCGTTTAATTGGGATACGCTGTTCGGGGATTTTCCGCTCCCTGATTTATATGTATTAATTCTTATTAATAATTTTTGTTGTTTGGCAAAAGTTCTCACGTGTGCCAGTTATAATTGCTTTATTTACTTACAATGTTCTGCGTCCTTGATTGACCCTTTCGGTTGAATAAAACGATCGTAGCAAATGGACAAGTGAATGGCGGTAATTCAGTAATGATGTATAACGATGATATCGATAAATTTAACTTTATTTCACAAAAATAACTCTTTAAACAATACTTGTAATGTCTCGGTAACGCAATTTATGAAATATTTAATAAACTGGGTACTTATACTTAAGACTATAGTTGATTAATTAGTAATGGTAATAAACGTGGTGAATAATCACCTATTATAAAATTAATAATATATAAGTAGAAAATAATTAATAATAATATTAAATTAGACAATAAACTTTTAAGCTATCTGAGGTTCTGGTGAGTAATCACCTAATAGTAGTAATAGTAGTATAGTAGTATAGTGGTAAAAATGACTAAGAAATACCTAGGCGTGGTGGTTCACACCGGGGGATAGATCGAAGTGTCGATCAATGCTCATGTTCTGATGCTCGTAGCTGATTTTCCCCTCCTCGTGTCGTCTTGAGACGTCACGGGAGCTACCCATTAATTTAGCTAGTGTCGGTAACGGAAATTTCGGGTGGTAGTTCGCCAGGCTGATAAAGTCGGGACATTTTGCAGTGTCTCAATATATATATATATATGAAAAATATATCAAAAATGCAAGTGGGTACTCAAATGAATGCTCTTGATGAGTCCTTCTACAAAAAATTATTCTAAGCTAATTTTAATCGACCTTACAAAAGGATTTCTATTTATCGTACTTTTATATATAAGTCAAATAGGCACCAATTGTTGGATAGTAGGATCGATACTTTAGATCTTAATTATAATTATCGATCGAGGTATTCTTAATAGCTTAGATCGATAAAGAAGCAACTCACTAATAAATTTACTTAACTCTCAGCTGTTAACAAGCAAATACATTATTACCGAACGTTAAAACTTTTGATAATAATACTTAAAGCGGAATTTTTTATTTAACTTCTATAAATAGACATTGATCACTTAATAAGTGTTTTAAAACGCAAATATTTTTAATTTCAAGATCAATTGTTCCAGTCATATTTTTAATTGTATTAAAAATGAAGAAATTATCTCGTTTACGACTTTGTTTTTCCAAGTCAATTAATAGCGCAATCATAAATAAATATTTTAATAACAATATTCTCAGTATTAGATATCAATAAAAACATTCAAGTCTAACGACCTTTGTCACATGATCACCAAGAGCTTGGTTGAATTAATCAGCCGTCAAAGGCGTAAATTATAAGTATGGCGACGCTTGATTGTAAAACGTCTGATAATTCTTCGAGTGATTTTACAAAATTGCAAGTTTTTAATATTAATAATACCGAAATTAGTGATGATAATACTGAAAATGATATTCCCTTGCAATCTTCATGGACATTTTGGCTTGACAAGTGAGTAATTGTCCTATTTTTAATAAATATAGACGGTTAATTATCGCGTATGATAATTTTATTTATAAATTAATTAGATGTTAGATTATTTTGTATTTTTAAAAAATTTTAAATGTTATTTTTTGTAACAATATTTAACATTTTATTTGAAAATTAGATAAGGAAAATTTTTGAATTAATTATTATAAATAATTTATTAATTATTTACGATTGTTATTATTTATTATAGAGCCGTACGTGGTAGGACAGTGGATGAATATAAAAAAAATTTAAAGAAGGTTTATACTGTTGACACAATTCAAAAATTTTGGGCTGTTTATAATAATATACCGAAAGTTTGTGAAATTCAAGTAAATATTATTATTATTTTTATTTTTATTTAGAAATAAAAAAAAATTTTTTTCTGATTAATTATAAATTTATTGTTAAAGAATAAATATAGTTACCATTTAATGAGGGATGAAAGATTGCCACTGTGGGAAGAAACTGATAATCAAAAAGGTGGTACATGGCGATTTAGATGTCACAAAAATGATACTGTAAGCTTATTAATTCAAATTTTTTTCAATTATTATCATAAATTAATAAATATTATCACGAAAAAAAGTAAACTGTAATATTCACTCGGATTCCGGTTAATTTGTTATAGTTTTAAACAGTAAAGCGGACATTGGGGTGGCAAAAATATAAATATTACAGAACTTAATGTAGAAAGTATAAAAGCCACAATTTATAATTTAATATCCAACAATAAGTGATTAATAGCTGTCACTATAGTAAATAACGACTCTTTCATCTTAAAAAATTACAGTTTCAAACAGTGAAAATTGCCATTTCAATATATAGTCGATATTATGAGGAGAAGAGGAACTCAGATGAAAGAGAAGGGGCTCTCACTCTGGGAGAATTTAACATTTGAAACAGTAAAAATTATTATACTTTTAAAATATAATAGTCAATAATTACAGTTTGATTTTTAGCGTTGCGTTTAAAATTGATCATTTTACTTTGTTAATATTGACGTTGCTTGTATTAGAAATATACTAACTTTATTTTATACTTTATACATATCATAAGATCATTTTTTAGCTACCAAATGATAAATATCAAAGTCTGAATTCTTAATTATTATACTTAAACATTTTAGACATTTACATAGCGAATATTACTGTTTGAAATAGTATTTTCTTCCATGTACACAGAAAGAACAAGATTACACTGGATATCATCTTAGGTTATAGTGAGTGAAAAAAAATTTCAGATTACAATGAGTATAATCCAGATTATAATGAGTATAATCCAGATATCACTCAGTATAATCTGGATTTTTTTAGCTACTATCTGAGATTTTTTTCACCACAGATATCACTGAGTATAATCTGGGATGATATTCAGTGTCATCTTGTTCTTTCCGTGTAAAGAGTAAATTGTAATAGTGAATAGTAAAATCACGATTTTACTGTTTGAAATGGTAATTTTTAGCAGTTGATCATTACTTATTATAAATCGACTGTTATTTATTACTGTTTACTTTTTTCCGTGTATCCTGATCCAAAAAAATTTATTTAAGTCAAAAAAATCTTGTTGTTTTGAGAAAATTTAGCCTCGAAGCTCCAAAAAATTTAGTTCTTGATAGTAGTAAATTTTTTTGTCTTGAGAAAATTTCTCTTTTGCTCCAAAAAATTGAATATAAATAAGATAAAAGTAAATTTTCATTAATATTTTTATGGATTAACATGTCAATTGGCAAAATCAAATAATATTTCATCATTTTTTTTCATTCAATATGTATAATTGCACGGTAAAATAATATAAAATGGGTATCAAATATTCTCGAGAAAAATTTTCTCAAGGTGAGAAAATTTTTTTCTCAGCTGAAGTAGGTGGCGCTGCTTCCCTAAAGTATCTAAAAATCTTGATCTAATATAAAAATTTATTGTATTAAGTATATATGATAGAATTAAGAAGAAATGACTCACCAAGAATAGAATTTAAAGAAAAATTTTAACTTCGTCCAACACGACTTTGGTCTTCCTTCAGACACCCGACAAATTTTCTTGAGCCAAGAATTTTGTTCTCCAGCCAAGAGATTTTTCTTATTGTGTAGAAAAAAAAATTTTTTTCTTTATTTTAGGAAACTGTTTGGAAAGAAGTTGTTCTAGGTGCAATCGGTGAACAGTTCAACAAATATATCCACAAAAATGATGAAATATGCGGTGTTACTGTCTCAGTAAGGGATCGAGATGATTTAATTCAAGTAATAATTACTTTTTTTTCTCTTTAACCTAACCTATCTATCGCTCTCTTCAAAAAACACTGATTTTAAAAATATATTAAGTCTAATTATTTTAAGATATTAATTCTAATTATCTAAAAAATTTATTTTATATTACATAGATTTGGAACGTTGACGCTGATCTTGCTAATTCAGCGACGATAATTCCAGCTGTTGTAGAGCTTTTGCCGAAGATTAATTTTCTTGGACAATTTTATAAACGTAAATATTTTCCATTTGAATGTAAGCTTCAAGAGAATTTTTCCTTCAAAAATTAATAATTATTTTTTTTTGTAGCTCATCAATTGAACTACGCCTATGAACGTCACTGAAATATTTACAAAGGATCACAATGCCAAACTGATTAATTATAAATTATTATTAATTATTGATCATAAATATAAATTAATTAAATTGGTTACAATCATAAGAATTGAATTAATTAATTTTGATATTAAAATTTTATAAACTATTAGCAAGTTTTTCAATCTGGGATAAAATTAAAATTATTTTGCCAACATATTTATAAATATGAACTATATTAATATATTTTAACTTTATGTGAAAAATAAATTTTTATTAAATTTCATAAAAAATAATTTTTTAAAGTGTGTAAATTAATTAATTATTCAGAGAAAGGTTTCTTATTAGATTTATAATATAAATAGCCGTTTTTAGGAATAAGTAAGTAGGGGGAAAAATTTTTTCGACACTCGAAGATGCGTACAAAAATATAAATAAATCGAGAACGAGAATGATTAAGAAATAAAACTTTCACTTAACACAATGAAACGTGAAGCGAATGAATTTTAAATCTTTTAATTTTATTTATTTCGTTATGTTCTGGATGTTTACTTTTGGTGACATTTATTGCGAAACACTCGGATGTCCTATCGTAATGGGTAGAAATAATATTCTTATTGGCTTCCGAGTTAAAAAAAAAATATATACATATGTTTAATTTAAAATCAATATCACTTTATCGTAAATTAGTTACTTAACTATTCTTACGGCAAGCCCACTAGAGGCGCCTAAGCATTTTCGTCCTATTACAGCTGTTTTATATATTTTTTATCTTATTATTATTTCATAATTAAATGAGCATTATGAGTCGTACACTTTTAAATTTTCCAAACATTTATAAGTAATTATAATTCTTGATAAAAAAAAAAAAAGAAATGGGGCCTTTACACGGATAGAACAAGATTATACTGGATATAATCCCAGATTATACTGAGTGAAAAAAAATTTCAGATAGTAGCTAGTATAATCCAGATAACAATGAGTATAATCCAGATATTATTCAGTATAATCTGGATTATACTAGCTACCATCTGAAATTTTTTTTCGCCTCAGATGTCACTGAGTATAATCTGAGATGGTATTCAGTGTCATCTTGTTCTTTCCGCGTAGATAGATCACGTTAAATATCAGCCTCTTAAGCGTCCATTTGCATATTCCTTCCCGACACCTCAGGAGCGAAATAGGTCTTTACTGTCACCTAAAATCCAAGTTTATTGAATTATTATAATAATAATAATAATAATAATAATCTTAAGACAATATTAAATTAGTTTGGGGATTTTTTTAGACATACAATTAAGATTTTATTATTCTAGAAAAAAGTGTTAATTCAATGAAGTGATGAAAGGATAATTTATTTTTAAATATTTTAAACACATTAAATATTATTTTTCTAGATTTTTATTTGACATACCTCGTCTTCTTTACGCCCGAAAAAATTCCAGAGATAATTAACGAAACAGTAGCATACGCGATAAAAGTCGAATAAATTTATTGAAGTAAATAATTATTAAAATTCAAATTACTTTAGATAAAAACAAACGCTATTATCACGCTCGATATTTCGTAGAAAAAAAATTTCCAAAAATAATATTGAATTTTTATTTAATAAATGATTTATTGTAGATTTTTTTTTTAAATTTAAATACTATCTTATGATTATTATTCTCATCGTAATATATATCTTAAATATTTCGGTGAATGGAATTCAGACGACATTGATCGTTATTTATCGAAAACGACTAGTACTGGCGCCGGTTTTTTATTAGCTAGATCTTTAATTCAGTTATTTATATTTTTTTTAACGTTTTATGTTGTTGAATTTTTTAAAGTTATTTGCATGGAATATTTATTTAATTTTAATTATACAAATACATTATCAGTTAATTATTTTTAATTAATCTCTCATCAAAAAAATTGTTTCTTTAAAATAGTCAAGGTTTTTTTTTTTTTTTTTTTTTATAACGATAATAGAAGTAATTTTTTTTTTTAGTAGTCAAGGAAATTGTTAAAAATTTTTTTAAGTACTAAAATAAATTAAAAATTTATCCTCAATAATTGTCAAAAAAAAAATTTCAAATTTGAATTTTTCGCGGCTTATAATAAAATTAAAGCGCATGCGTCATAACTTGAAATCAAAATGTAAATTAGTAAGACAATGAACTCTTCCCAATCACCGCGATCCAAGAACTGGAGATATTTAAATTTCTCTCATTTCAATTGAATTCAGAAACAATTTTTTAATTTTTGATGTATCCAGATACTTACAAGTGAATATTATTTCGTAAGGAATTTTTAAAGGCGAGAGATTTCCTGTTATTATAATATAAATGTATGGCGCCAACTGCTGGACGACGACGTAGGGGCCAAGCCTCAGATGTCTATCATGTTAATAACGTTCTTAACATTCCAATACTTTTAAATATATATTTATATGTGTAGTATGAATATATAAGTAACACAATATTTTGTCAATGATATATGTAGTATTATTACTTTTTAATGTTAACATGTGTACATATTTTTTAGATACTAACAGATCGATAAATTTTGTTGTAGATACCAAGTTTTTCTCATCTCTATGTTCACTTTGGTCTGATATGATTTATATGTGGTCACACATGCTTATATGTAACCATATGTAATCGTATTTAGACCATACGTGTTTATGTACAGAACATACATGGTCATATGTGGAACATACATGTTCGAATGTAAACATCCATGGCCATATGTGGAACATACATTGCCATATAAGGAACATTCATGGCCATATGTGGAACATACATGTTCGAATGTTAATATACATAGCCGTATGTGGAACATTTATGGTCATATGTGGAACATACATAGCCAAATTTAAACATCTATGGCCATAAGTGGAACATCTATGGCTATATAAGGAACATTCATGGTTATATATGGAACATACATGTTCGAATGTAAACATACATGGCCACATGTGGAACATTAATGATCGTATGTGGAACATACTTGGTCATATGTGGAACATACATGGTCACATGATGAATATACATGATCGAATGTAAACATACATGGCCATATGTGGAACATAGATAGCCGTATAAGGAACTTTCATGGCCATATGTGGAACATACATAGCCATATAAAGAACATTCATGGTCATATGTGGAACATACATACCCATATACGGATCATTTATGGCCATATGTAGAAAATACATGTTCGAATGTAAACTTACATAGCCATATGTGGAACATACATGGGCATATGTGGAACATTCATGGTCATATGTGGAACATTCATGGTCATATGTGGAACATCCATATCCGAATGTGAATATAATTTGCCATACGTGGGACATTTATAGCCACATAAGGAACATTCATGTTCATATGTGGAACATACATGTTCGAATGTAAACTTACACGGCCATATGTGGAACATACATGGCCATATGTGGAACAAACATGGTCATATGTGGAACATACATGACCATATGTGAAAACATGTCTGTAGGCAGAACATACATGATCATATATGGAACATACATGGCCGAATGTAAACATATATGGTTGCATGTAAGCATACATGTCAAAATGTGGTACACACATGGCAATATGAGGAATATACGTGGTCATAAATTTTCTGAGGATGATTTTTTATGTATGCAAAACCATTTGCATTGCGTTAAAAAAATTTTATTTATAAATAACAAAGAAACTTCCTTTTTCCGATGGTTAATTACATCTGCATAATTCAAATTACTTACGTCCTGTTGCTTCATTATTCAATGACACTCTGCACATAAAATCCTTTTGTTTAAGCAAAAAAATTAACAATCATAAATTGAATAACAAAAACGGATACTACATACTACTACGATAAAAATGAAGTAGTTCAATTAAATTATTATTTTTCCATTACTCATTACCTGGAATATCATTCGCTGTAAAGTGAATTTTTTTATAATGCTTTTAAATAAATACACCAAGGATTTTTTTTTTGTTCCTTTGAAAAATAAAATTAGGTGGTAAGGAAATTCAACGTTTAAGTGTTAAAGATATTTTTAGCCGTAAAAAAAACTAACAAATATTAAACGAAGGAATGTTTTAGTAGGAGTAGAAAAATAAATGTAATCCGTTAGGTTTTTTTTATTTTTATTTTTTTTTTTATTCATTTTATATAACCAGGCGCCAAAGCTCCGACCTCGAAAGGTCGTTTCGAGATTCCTGACTAAATTAATTGCTCAGAATAAAACCGGTGTCTGGACTTGTGCGGGTTTAGAGGCTATTAAATTCGACACAAACATCGCGTACATAATTACATTGGAAAAACATGGATTATTTTTATATTATTGATTTATTTATTTTTTTTTCTCTAAATTTATTGTGAAAAGCCTATAAAAGTAAGGTAATAAAAAAATTTTTATTTTTTCTTTCAAAAGCAGTTTTTTTAATTTACAAAACATTTTTATTCAACAAAAAAAATTTTTTTTACTGTCACAAAGTTTTTTTTTAACTATACTAATATTAAATTAAAAAGAAATAAATTTAATAATTTTCCACTTTATACATATATATATATATGAAAAATATATCAAAAATGCATGTGGGTACTCAACTGAAAGGTCTGGATGAGTGTAACATCGGGATGAGCTTATATCTTTAAAAATGTCAATAACTAAGAAATGACCTTGTATTTTGTGAACTATTGACATTTTGAAAGATATAAACTCACCCCGACATTACACTCATCGAGACCTTTCATTTGAGTACCCACATCAATTTTTCATAAATTTATATATATTATATATATGTATATATGAAAAATATATAAAAAATGCAAGTGGGTATTCAAATGAAAGGTCTTGACGAGTGTATCATCAGGATGAGCTTATATCTTTAAAAACGTCAATATTTAAAGGAGTACAGTGCAATTAAACAAGTATTTCGTTAAAAGTAAACTATATTTAAATAAAACAAATTTTTTAATGTTAAACACGTACTTTTAAGTTATTTTGAATAAATCTACGAATTAAAATTAC